AGGATCATCAATACGTGATTGGCTGGTGGGTTTGACTTCTAATGTGGATTGTGCACATGTGCTAAAGGTAACCATCTGAGTAGTTGAAGGACAGAGGTGGTACTTGTTGGAAGATTCCACCCTGTTCAATCACTCAGCAAAGAAGTATCCAGCCCCTCCTCGGGGCTAGACTCAGTTGTGGGATGATGCTGAAAGAGGAAGCAGTAGAACATCAGCAGGCTCTGATTTTATCACAAGCTGTGTGACTTTGGGCAGGTACCGAAGCCTGCTCTTCAGCCGCATTCCTCCTTGCTGCCACAGGGTGTACAGATCTGCTCTGAATGTTGGCCCTGTTACCTGCCAGCTCCATGCTGTTCTAGCAAAGTGCTTCTCAAAAGTGGAGACAATAATAGCATCTTCTCAAACTTGTGAAGATGACAGGAGATAGTACTCATGAAGAGCTTGACCTGTGGTGAAATCTCCCTCAATGCCAGCTGCTGCTATTACAGATATTATATTATTATAGTTATTCACTAGCTGCCTTTACAGTCCCTGCCCTCAGAGAGACGTTAACCTTCTTAACAAACCAAACTCACTGCCATCCAGTTGATTCCTACTTAGAGTGACTGTATAGGACAGTAGAACTGCCCCTGTGGACAGTTTCCCTCCATATGAGCATCCTCCGTATTGGAACGGCTGGTGGTTTCAGACTGCTAACCGTGCAGTTAGCTGCCTAAGACTGTATGCATTCCACTAGGCCACCAGGGCTCCTGTTGTTGGGGGAGGCAGAAGTGATGCAGTAGCACAGGTCTGGTATATTAAAGTTGTATACTAGAGGAGCCCTGGTGGTGTAGGGGTTGTGTGTTGGTCTTTGATCCACATGGTCAGCATTTTGAAACCACCAGCAGCTTCTCGGGAGAAAGAATGGACTTTCTACGCCCGTAAATAGCTACAGCCTTGGAAACCCACAGGGGGTTGCTATGAGTCAGCATTGACTTGATGGCAGTGAGTTTGGTTTGGTTTTATACTAAAAGTGCAGCCATAATGCCTTTGGGTCCAGAGGAGGGGAGCCAGTCGTCCTACAGTGGAGGTAGCTGTTGAGCTGGGTCTTGGCAGGAATTAGATGGGTGGTGCAGAGTGGACCACAACACAGCAAGTAGAGTGGAGTGTGTGAGTGAAGGCAGGGCCTGTTCAGGGTAGTTTTGGGCCAGAAGGGCTGTACTTTTTGTCAGCGCCACCTCGAGGAATCCGAACTGTGGTCTGTGGGTGTCTTTGTTTCCAAGGACTGCCATAACAAAATACCTCCACTTTAGAGAGAAAGTTATCATCTCCCTGTTCTAGAAGTCCAAATTCAGGGCCTCAGCTGGGCCAAGCTGTCTTTCTGTCAGCTCCAGGGGAAGATGCTTCCTTGCCTCTCCAGCTTCTGGTAGCCCAGGGACTTCCTGGGCAATTGTTGGCTTGTAGATGGAGCCCCACATTATGTCTTCTGTGTGTGTGTGTGTGTGTGTGTGTGTCTCAGAGAGAGAGAGAGAGACCACTTAGAAGGGATTAGGATTAGGACCCACCCTACACTGCTGTGGCCTAACTTAATTTAAGTGATAACAAAAGAGAAACCCACTTGTCACACAAAAAGTTTTACAACATTTTAAGTGCATGTATTAAAAATTTACATATAAAAATGGCATAGTGGAGGCATCTAGCCTCCTCTTTCTTCATGAAGGGGCAGGAGAATTGCTATCCGCACCAGCCCAAGGCTACAGAGGCCAGACATAACCTCCTTTTGCCACCCTCCATTATCAGTCCTGACAGCAGCTATCCCTCCCACAGTACTCTGCTTCTCTGATGGGCTTGTAATTTGTTGCAATGGCCACATAGTACTCACAGACCATAAGCACATTCGTGGGGTTTATTACGGAAATAATAGGTTACAATGCAGGATCAGAAACAACTCAGGATACAGTTTATGGCCACAGGCTGGCCTATTTCTGGCCCTTGGCCCCCTAGACTTGGGCTAGCCCAGCCTCCCCTCCTGTTAAGGCAAGTGTTCTACCAGTGAATAACTAGCGGCACCCCAC